TAATGTAACCAAAACAATAAATCAAAGTTGAAGAATTATTGCATTGAGAGAAATTTTTGTACAACATATGCCTAATCATTCATAATCAAGAAGCTAGGTCTTGTAAGTAAAATAGCAGCATTCTCCACACTTTTATTTATAATATCAGTCAGTTATAATATTATCATTATTACTGTATTATTATTACTGTATTATTATTATTTGTTGTTATTATTATTATTATTATTATTATTTATTACTATTCATTGAAATTTTGATTTGTAATTTGTAAAACATTTAAACATTTTGATTTAATATATGTATTAAAACAATCAATATATTATAATACAATTAGGCCTAGGGGCCTATATCTTTAAAATTATATTTTTATCTTTAAAATCTTTAGTTGCACAAGACAATTAATTGATTTGTAAAGCACAATTGGGCATGTTTGCATAGCACAGGACTCCTTGGACAAGTTTTTGCTTTAATTGGAGGATTCAATTTTTATTTTTGATTATAATTTAAGCTACCTTTGACTGATGTAGCTTTCTGGAAATTTAGTTATATAATTTAACAGCAAAGTGCAACATTGCGTTTTTTATAAATCATTGCTGCTTGAAAATCCTTCCTTTTTTTTTATTATCATCGTAATTAAGCCGATTTAAGTACTACCTTAAGGTGTTCGGCCGAAGAAGGACCGACATTTAGGCCTGTCTAGTAGTAGTAGGTGGATATATATTATCGTGAAATGGGGCGGGCGTACATGCCTTATAATTTACTACGTGGATAGCGAGATTTTTCGATCGCTATGCAAAGTTAAAATAAAATCCCAAATCCTCCTCCTTTTTGGAATTTAAGGAAATTAATACATTTTTGTTTCTTTGTTGGATCGATTGCAGCAACCCCAAACCCAACATAACGGTATTTCACATTATAATTATAGCATTATCATCTATAATAACTGCTTAAACTTCCAAGCCTACCCTATCGCGTTGTTTTGTTTTGGTGACAACATGGCCGGTGTAAGTCACGTGATTGAAACCGAGTTGGCCAAACTCTCTCTATCTACGGCTCTGGCCATCTGGCCATAGACAGAGCCGTAGATAGAGAGAGTTGCGACATTGAGAATTTAGAAGCCATTTTGTGTCATACGCGATGCGCGTTCTGTGTCTAACGTGATGTGCGTTCCTGTGTATAATATTGTATAAATACAGTTAGCAGCCTCTGTGTAGTTTAATTCCATTTAATCTTTTTAGCAGTCAAATTGCATGTAACTGTATTTATAGATTTTTTTTAATGATTTCACTACTTTATATCCAATTTTATATTATAAATACTGTAATAATTTACTAATTTATGCAGTTCTTTAATCCTCGCCGATAGACCGAGAGAGTCCCCTTGATGGAAAGCATTCTTCAATTAAGCAATCCTGCCATATAGACCCTTAATTAGCTCCTGTTATTTTTGCAAATAAATGATATGTGACGACTAGAAAAAATTAATTAAATATGTATATCAAAATGTAATTAAAATCCGATAGGGTATATATAGATTTTTGCTCTTTAAATTTGAATATGAACGAGCCCTGTACAAATCTTATGTTATTAATTTGATTATTATTATTTATAAATATTAAAATAGTATAAGTCGGTTACTAGCTCTGGCTATGTGACGAATATCCATTCAGACGCTTTCGTAACAACAATTTTCAAAATCTGTTATGGGCTTACAACATTATGGCTATTTGTACAGTATGAAGGCCAATAGCTCGCACGGCAATAAATGCTTAATATTTAATAGTTGAAAAAGAAAGAAAAAATTAAGCCAAGGCAGGCCTATACTTCCTACCTCACAAAGACGTGAGTTGGTCGAAGATTTCCAATTTAATCGCCTAACTTTTGCTTCCCATATTTTCCTTCAGTTTTCATGAGTCGGAAATCGGAAAAGCTTTGTACGCCTACTATCAGATTGGTTTTTGCAGCCAAACGCTGAACAGCCAGTCATCCTAAGCTATAGACCTGGCCTGGACCTTAGCCCAGTTCCTTTTAAGTACTTCCGATCTCAGTCCATGGTACAGAAAACAATTTCATCAATTTAATAAAAATGCAATTAAGATTATTATAATACATAAAAATCGGAGAAAACCTCAAGAACGCAAGTACCTTTTTAAATGGGTGCTAAGGACCAAAGTATTCATTTCATTTCATTTCATTTATTTTGTCTCAATAAAATACATAAAAAACAACAACCGGTTACAATACAACAAAATAAAAGCATAAAAAATCTGAAACAGGCCGAGACAGGATTCCTAAAAGTGAACCAAATCACTATCATGTAGGTCTCCTAATGCACTATTCC